GGGGGGGGGGGGGGGGGGGGGGACGTGAAAGTTTGCGCGCTCTCGCGATAGATAAACTCGTAAAGGTATACGGATCCTTCGTGAAAACGGGAAGAACGTGAAAGGGGAGGTTACGGGGAGGTGACAGAAAACACGAACTGCCAGGGGTGCGCTCGATCGGTGTACGTTCCTCTTACAAGCGCGCCGCTATTTGTTCGGGTTACCTTACAGACGGCTGCCATTCGCGTAGTCACCGTCAGGATACTTGCACAGCCGCGCGCAGAGAAAACGTTCGACACTTGATATTTTACGGAGTCCTGGATCTAATTCTCTCGCGTTGACCTTACGGTTACTCCGTGAGACGAACATGTTTCGACATTTCGGACGGGAATCGGGAATCGTTGGGAGACGACGGGAACGACTCGCGTAAGAGCCGTAAATCGCACGACAAGGCGAATGCAACTCGTTCGCTGAGAAGGAATGCTTCTTTCCTCTATTTTCCTCTTTCTCTTTCCATTCCGAACACACTCTCTGGATTTAATCCAATTTGCGAGTCTCAAGATATCTTCAGCAGCCATCAATCTCGAAAGGAGGCCTAAAGTTATGCCGATAAAGCAGTTTAATTCGTTCTTCTCTCTCTATCTTTCTGTCTCTCGTGCGGCGCCGGAGCGATTATAATAATTCCATTAAGTCGTTAAATCTCGGAAGACTTATTAAGATCGAGGAACTGAGCAACCACGAAGTCGAGCGTCGTTTGATTATCCATCGAACTTGCTGTCGCAGGTAAATGAAGATCCCACACGCTCCGCGAAGTCACGTTGGCGGAACGGAGGATGCGGTTCGCGAGATTTACTTTAGATTCCTCGATCGTTACGCGACTCTTTCGCTCCTTCCCGCGGGCAGAATTCTCACCTACATGCACGCAATCAGGGCTATAAAGGGGTGTAAAGGGATGAATGGAGGGGAGAGGGTTCCTTCGGGAAAGAGAAGAAAAAGAGGAGGAAGAAGAGGAAACTTTTGTCTCTCGCGCTTCGCACGTGATGCAATCACAAGGTAGATCAAGCCGGCGAGATTACGCCGCTTTTCGGAATCCGCTGATCTTCCGGAGTTATCGCGATTAAAGACGTAGCCATGCCTCTTCTCAGCACGATATCGCACTTGAAGATATTGTAAATGACTTTCTTGTCGTGGTGCTCGGATAACCAGTACAATTTGATTTACAATGATATTCCTACAGGGAGGCCGAGAGACACTTTGTGCCTTCGTTGCTATTAATTAATTGAAATTTGACCTCGATTAAGCTCGCGATTCATCTCCTCGTGTCTCTCGCGATCACTATTAAAAGCAGGCGAGATATTTAATTTATTGCCTGGCAAAGAGAGTAAAGAGACCCAATAGGGGTTATCACTGTTTTTCCCTTGTATTTTTCCCTTGCATCCTTGTACTGTTTATAGCTTCTAAATAATTATATAAAAATTATATATATGTATATTTCTAAATAAAAGATGAAATGTACATATACCTGCATAACTTTCCAGATATCAAAGAACAGAAAATCTTTTATAACTTATAAGCCGACTTGAAAACAAGCGTCAGCAATCAAACTTTCCATTACATGCTACAAAAAAAATGATTTAAATACTTTTTAGCAGAGTAGAGCAACATACAGAGCCAAAACACTGCTAATCTGTATGCGGACCGTATTTAGATCTTTTCGGGAAGAAATATTCTCAAGTACAACCGACGTTGCTTGTTGAATCAACCGCAATGAATGAGAGAACGAGTCGAGCACGCGACCGCGGTTGTACGCGTTGATTCATGCAATTAAGGCCGGATCGTTGGCTCAAGATTTCCTCGAACTTCGAGCTTAATACCGCTTTAGCGTCGCAAAGTCGCTCAGCTCAGGCTTATCTTGACTGACAATGAGAGGGCAACCTTTGCATGACGACCCAGTTTCAGCGTTGTGTAGTCGCCGTCGCGAAAATACGCCGAAAGATCGTCCAGGCCTACCTGGAGTGTGCGAGGGTGTGTGGACGGCTTAAAACGGGATTTAAGCGACGAATACGAGACGAGACGAGACGATAGCAGTCAAAATATGGTGTCTTAACGGCGTGCTCTTGCTATTTGATGTTCACTTTCACTGGCTTAATTGACTATTCCTGTCTAAGACCGTGATCTTAACACTTGGTTAAATAATCCAAGTTGTCAGTTAGCTCTGCGGATCGACTTATAACGAAGAAAAGGTCAGGTCCCGCGTTGTTTAGTTAGCGGGTAAATATAGTGGCAGCCAGACGGCGACTTTAATTAAACCACTTTCGACTATTTTCGCTCATCCGCGTTTGCTTTCAAGAGGACGCGTTTTCGGGACGACGAGATAAAACGAACGAATGAACGAACGAACGGACGAGCAGAGTTCTCTTCTCTCAACAAACACGAACGACGCTGGTAACGTAACGCGGTAACTCAATACCGCGCGAAGTAAAACCGCCAATTTCCCTGGTCGTTTGGTCTTCTTTCAAGACGGGCTGAACGGTGCAGCGCGAGCTGCGGGGGAGCGTTTCTTCTAGCAGGGGTGGATCCGAGTCCCAGTTCCTCTTCGGTAAAAGCCGGGCGGCGCAGCTTCTTCTCGTAAAAGCAACGCGCCCTCCATTAAACCATACACCCACCGACGAATGTCCTGAAACATTCGCAACACGTCTCGTTTTCGACACAACGTCCGGCCGGCTTCCCCGACGAGACTCTCAGCTCCCATTCCTGTGCTATTCTTCGCCGCCGAAGACGAACGTCGCTTCCCGAACGACGGCGTTTTGTCCAACGAAATCTCTCGCTCTAACGTTCCCGTCTCCATTCATCCCGTCCATTCTCATCCCGGTCACATTTCTCTCCGCGCTGCTTTCGCCTCGCGTCACACCGCATCGTCGCGCGATACACCCGTCCTTGCGATCGAGATTCCGCGACCGAGAGCGCGTCGACGTCGCGAAGCTCGCCCTGGTTCTCGCGACGTCGACAAAGGCGAGCTCTCCATCTCGTTTTTTCCCTCCTTTTCATTCTCTTCTTGATGCTGTCCATCTCCGCCGATGCGCTTAATTTCTTCAGGCAAGGCAGTCTTTATTCACCCTCAACGATTCATCTTGTCTCGGTAAT